TTAACAAGATTCCTTAGGTAATTCATATGCATATTAAAACTTGAGAAGCACTTTTCTAAAGACTACAATTGCGGTTCTCATCATCCTTGGCCTATTAGAATCACCGGGGAGGTTGATTACTGTTGTTAAATTTGATTTTAAACTAAGTCTCAGACTTACTGAAGAGTTGCAAAATTAGTACAGAGAGCTCCCATATGAAGCCAAGGGCCTTCATGATTTGGATTTGATTTGTGACTACAGCTTTAGAAATTATTTTTTTCCCCTCTCTCTCTCTCTACACATCTCATAGACCTAGGCTTTCTTCCTGATAATCATTAATCCCTGAGGCAGCAGAAGACAATAGCCTGGACCTGACTAGTGGTCATAAGGTCCAGACCTCTGGCAGGCTAAAGATAATATCTTGACCTAAATGATGTTACAGCTCCTGAGCCCTAAAGTGGAATGACTCCTCAGTTACTTTTCCCTGGAACCAAACAGAAAGACACTGCAGCAAACCTCAGAGCTGTCCTTAAGATCTGAAGAAATCATTTATTGCCCTTACCTCACCTCCAATCAATCAGTTTTTAACATAACCCTGAACCCCTAACCCACGGTGTCTTGTGATTTTGCCCTATATAATCTGTAACTTACATGGCACTGGGGAGTCGGGTCTTTTAGAGCATGAGCTTGCCCATACTCCAGATTGGCCAATCCTATAATAATAAATTATTTCCTTTCTCCATTACAAATCCCTGCTTCTTCATTTCTGTCCGCCAGTGCGTGCAGGCAGACGGACAACATATTGGGGTTCGATAACACATATACCCTCCACTCAGCCTTCCATATGTAGATAACCATAGTACAATTATGAAAATCAAGATATTAACATTGGCACAATATCATTAATTTAGCTTCAGTTTATTTGAATTTTGCCAATTTTTCCCCTAATGTTCATTTTTTGTCTTTCCAGGAATCAATCCAGGATTCTACATTTAGTTGTCACATCTAGTTGGTCTCCTCCAGTCTGTTCTCAGTCTTTGTCTTTTATGACCTTGACATTTTTGAAGAGTACTTACTGGTCAGTTGTTTTATAGAATATTCCTCAGGTTGGATTTGTCTGACGTTTTTGCATGAGTTGATTGAGGTTATACATTTGGGGCACATACTCTCAGGGAGTGCAAGATGTTAATATGTCTTATGACTAGCAATGTTAACCTTGATCACTTGGTTAAGGCAGTGTCTCCACCGCGAAGTTAGCATTTTCTCCTGTATAGTTTCTTGAATCACTTAGGGAACATACTTTAACAATACGCAAATATTCTGTTTCTTCTCAGACTTTTATCCATTGCTTTTATCTATTGGATTATTTGCAACAATTATTTCTGTGCTATTCTAATATTGATTATCTATTTATTAATTGAAATTCTGTAAGAAAAAGCTATTCCTTCTCTACCATTTATTTATTGAATTATTCATTTATATCAGTATGGACTCATGGAAATTTATTTTAGTCTGTTGTTATTTACTTTGTTACTCAAACTGTTCCAGCTTTGGCTCTTTCAGACTGGCTCCTTTTGACTTACCTCATAAGTTTATAGACTTAATGGACTTTATTTTTGGAATAATTCTATGTTTACAGAAAAAAAATTGTAGACAGTAAGTACAAAGAGTTCCTTTATGCCTTTCACTCAGTTTCCCCTAATGCTAACACCTTATATAGCTATGACATATTTGTCAAAACTAAGAAACCAACATGGATACATTACTCCCAACTTTATTTGGTTTTTGCTCATTTTTCCACTGTCCTTTCTCCATTCCAGGATCCAATCCAGGATACTTGTTACATTTAGACCTCCATCCTTTCTTAAGCACTTTCTTATATGCTCCAGATTTGTTTTATATTTTCTCTGTCCAGTCCTGGAATAAACCATGTCTCTAAGAAGCTCCACCCAGGGAGTTTTGAAAAACCTAATATTCAGGCAGCACCCTGGATTAATTAAGTCCAAATCTCTGACTGTGAAATCCTGGCATTTAGAGTTTTAAAAGCTCCTCAGGTGATTCCAATGTGCATTTGAGACTGAGAACCATTGAGCTAGACCCTACTTCTGCTGGCCAAGAAAAATTAAAACTGAACGGTAAATCTCCAAATGCCAGAGACTTAAGTATATTCCCCAGCAAGCTCTTATGTTCCCTGAAGACAAGGGATTTGGTTTTGATCATCTCTAATGAGCACCTGGCCCAGAATCCGGCACATAGGAGGTCCTCAGAAATGCAGAATGAATGAAAACTAAACAAGTGAAACAAGTCTTGGCTCTCTTAGTAAAATTAACCTTGGCCTGACTTCTTTTTTCCTAATCCGTATCCATCCCAAATTAGATTTTTGAGCTGCCTTGAGGTTTATGCTGAACACCTCAAGATTTCCTAAAATTTCAAGTGAGGGATAGAGAAAGAAGCAAGGCTGCCCTTGGGCAAACTCTCCGGCAGAAATCCCCTCCCTGGAATAATAGGCTATGCTGGCTTCCCCTCTCTGGGTCTTCTGTCAACTGCCCTTATTTGAGTCCTCTTCTGCCACCTTTACTTCCAACAGCCCTTATGGCAAATGCATCAAAAAAAAGGAGCACCATCTTCTTTATTCCCTTTACTTTTCCTTCCTCCCTTTTTTCTGGCCTACTTTAATGTCTCAGCTTCTTCTGCAGAGAAGTACAAAGGGCACAGGCTCTGGAGCCAGCCAAACCTGGGTCAAATCCAAATTCTCCCATTTACTAGATGTAATAACGGAACCTCTCCTAGGTCTCTGTTTTGTAGTGCGTAAAATGGGGGTAATAGCGCCTACCTTGAAGGATTGATGTGAGAAGTCAAGAGAATATTTTTGCTCACCTACAAGCACAGCTTGTGCTCAGAAATGACAGTTGCGATCATCGTTGTTTTATTATTATTGTTGTTGGTGGTAGTGGTAGTAGCAGTAGTAGTAGTAATAGTGGGGATCAGTTTCCTGAATCATTTGGAAGGGACAGGGCAAGGCAAATTAATTCTATAAAAGAGAGTAAGAACTCTACCCATCTGTCAGGGATCTGGAGTAACTAATGGAATTTCATTCAGAATTTGCAGAATTCATCTATACAATCCAGAAGAAATGGTTTAAACTGCACAAAGGCAATCTCAGCTAAAGCAATTATCTGCCGACACCACCATCTGGTTACATAACCAACCAACATTACACAACCAATATTATATTATTATTAATATAATAAGTAACATGGGGGTACACACTGACATCTCCAAGTGCTTTTGTTTGCATCATCTCATTTAACCTCTCCCAACCTCAAGGTGGCTATTTTGACCATTTCACAGGTGAGAAAACTGAAGTTATATGTTATAGTAACTGAGCTAGCAAGTAATAGAGTCAAAACACATACACAAGTCTTTCTGGCTCTGACATCCCTGTGGTTTCTACAATTGTTTTTTTGTTCTGTATAAGTTCATAGCTGTCAAAAGAACACACTCACTTCCAGGTCTGTTAGAAACAGAAGTTTTTAGGAAAAGGCTTGGAAAAACTGGAATGCCTCATTATAGAAAACGTCAAAATGAAAAATGCTGGCCTTTCCCCTTCTAATTTGGCCACCTCATCTTCTCCCTTTGTCTTAGTGGAAAAATGTTTCCCTGGCAACTTGTTTGTCCCACCAGCTAATCAATCAGTCTACTACTAACTATCCAATCAGCCAACATGCTTAGCCTATGCTGGGGGCTCTGAGGACACCAGAAAAAATGCCCAGGCCCTGCCCTCAGACCAATGCAGAAAACAGAACCCACCAAAGCAGAGTACATGGGGTCAAGGGTCAAAGGAGAAAGAAGCCTGGGAAGGAACTGCAGGAGGAGGGAGCCACCGGGAATGATGATGAGAGGATAGGCTTGGGATGGGGAAAGAAACTGGAGATGGTGCTTCTGGTGGGAAATTATAACAATAAAGGCCAGAAGGAGGAAACGAGAGTATAATATGCCAACTGTGAAGACAGCAGCCACCTGTGGTCCATATTTGTTTTCAAAGAGTAGTGAGAAATAGGGTCAGGGCCTGACTATGCTGGATAATGAAACAAGCAGCAGATTTGAACACCACGTGCTGAGCAATTGGAAGCTGTGAAGGTTTTTAAACTAGGAACACCATAGATTTGATGCTTAAGCCAGTTCTAAACATTTGCCAATTGCCTTAGCACTGATTTGTTGCCTGATTTAAACTAACTAAATAATTCGTTCTTAGTGTTAAAAGATAAAAATAAAAAAGACAGAAAGTACTCGAGGCTCCCACTGACGCCACAAAGTGCCCAATACCTTGGAGTATTAAAATTAGAAATTTCTATTAAATACGATTTGACATGATGAAACATCAAAGGCAATACAGAACCACAATTTTGGAACAATAAAGCATGTAGGTACAAGCATCCAGGAGTGAAGCAGAGAAAATTATGTAATATTACTGGCAGGGAAAATACTCCAAACCAAATATTATTTTTAAATACTATGGAGTACCTGACTATCTTTTCTGCAGTGACCAAGAGAGAACCAATTTTTATAAATCTTGTACCCAATATTAAGGTTGAAAATTGTCATTTTATTCATGTGTATGTTTTAAGAATCTTTATTTTACTTTATTTCTTTTCCTTACAGTTAACAACTCCCAGGCACATTTAAAAGGACTAAGTAACTATGTTGCACCTTTTAAAATCAGACAATGAGATACATGGCAAAATGCATAGAGCTCTGCTAACCTTTAGATGATTTGTTCTGATGCTTTATCTTTCTAAATTGTTCTGTGGACATTAGAAGAAAATTTTCCAAACAGAATACAGGCTTTTCTTTTCTTTAGGATGTGGGGATAAAGGTTTAGGAAGTGAAAAACATTTTTAAAAACAGACATAAGATATTCTATGAATATATTGTGACCCCAAACCCTGGGAAAGTATTTTTCGCCTTCTTAACCTGTATTCAAGTCCCAGACTATTGGCTGTATTCTAATTCATACTTACCTACGAGCAAACATGGAATCAAGGCGTAGAAAAACCACATAAGACTTGGCAAGATTTCTTCTAGAACCATCACGAAGGTCTGTGTTTGGCAGACTCAGCTTGACCTGGAACATCGTTTCCTTACACAATGAAACATTCTGTCCATCCTGGTCATTTTGCTTCAGAACGCAGATGTTGGAGCTGAGTCGCTGTGAAGCCTGACTTGCTCTGGAAAGAGGAGCTGGGCCCAGACAGCTCAGAAGGGGCGGGGCATGCAGCACCCTCCTTTCTGCCCAAACCCAGATATTGTATCAGGGGGTGTGGCCTAGGAGAGTTCCAGAGAAAATGTAACTCGGGGGAGCTTGAGAATCTGCCTGGGGGAGATACCTAGACCATAGGCTCTCTTCTGGGGGGAACCTGGTTGTCCCTAGAAACTCCATTGGCAGTGAGCAGGCAGGATTACCTTAGCCTCTCATCAAATAGCTGTGCTTTTCCATGTCTCCATCTTGCAAGCTGGACACTGATTAGCCCTTTTTACATATCCACTTCAGAAAAAAAGTAGATAAGTTTTAAAAAAAAGTTTTAATACTTTTTAATAAGTCAGGAATTGAAGAACATATAGTTTAATATTCGCTTGCATTTGCAAAAAGAAAACCTGGAAGGAGATACAGAAACTAATGTTTGGTTACCTTGGGGCAGAGGGAGTGGAAATTGAGAAGATGGAGGAGAAAAATGGGAATGAGACTCTTTGTGGTATCCTTTTTTTTTCTTTGTTTTGGGGTTTAAAAAAATTTTTTTTTATTGTGGTAAAATACACATTACAGAAAATTTACCATCTTAACCATTTTTAAGTATACAGTTCAGTGGTATTAAATACATTCACATTGTTGTGTAACCATCACCATCATCTGTCCACGTAACTCTTCATCTTGTAAAACTGAAACTCTATGCCCATTAAACAATAACTTCCCATTCTCCCCTCCCCCCTGCCCCTGGCAACCACCATTATACTTTCTGTTGCTATGAACTTGACTATTCTAAGTACCTCATGTAGTAAGTGGAATTATACATAGTATTTGTTTTTCTGTGACTGGCTTATTTTCACTTAGCATAATGTCCTCAAGTTTCAATCATGTTTAATCATTCTGCACATTGCAGAATTTCCTTCCTTTTTAAGGCTAAATAATATTGCATTGATGTATATACCACATTTTGCTCATCCATTCATTCATCAATGAACACTTGGTTTGCTTCCACATTTTAGCTATTGTGAATAATACTGCTATGAACATGAATATACAAATATCTCTTTGAGACACTGCTTTCAATTCTCTTGGGTGTTGTGTATCTTTTTATACTGTTCAACGAATTGTGAATATATTATTGAAAAATTAAAAACAATTTTAAAAATTGGAAGGAAAACCTTATGATAGAGTTTGGTCCCTTAAAATGCCAGCTTTTTAAACACTAAATACTCTACACATGCGAATGCATTATTGGAAAAACATGGATTTTAGAGTACAACAGATTTTGGTTCTGGTTTAAAACTTATTTGAAATGCAACCTTGACAAATTAATCACTTATTTATTCATTCAATATTCATTAAGGGCCTACTATGTGCTGATCCTGGGGATTCAATAGTTCCCGACCTCAACCAAGAACTTCCCAGCTAATGGAGATGGACATGGGAATAAATCATTACTGAAAAGAAAGCGACAGAAATATTGACAAGAGAATAAGAGAGCATTAAGGAGAAACACCTAATGCAGCCTGGGGGATCAGAGAAGGCTTCCTGGAGGAGGTGATTTCAGGGCTGAGTACTAAATGCTGGAAAAAATTAACCAGGCATGGTATGTTTAGGAAACCACAAGAAGTTTGGTGCCACTGGAGAGCAAGGTTGGAGTGGCAAGAAATGAGGTCCAAAGGCAGATAGAAACAGGATTACATTGAATCTTGAATGCCTAATTGAACAGCTTAGAGTTTATCCTGAGAGGAAAGGAGGGGTTAAAAAGCTCAGATCTGATTATGTCATTCCCTGTATTTGAGCTTTAAAGTTTATGACTAGGATGGAGAAAACAGTACGAGGGGCCAAACTGGAGGAAGGAGGGCCAGGAGGGAGCTTTGTCAGTCTGCTAGATGGGAGTTGTTGGCTAGCAGTAGGTTTTCCCATGTCTGTAGAAAGAAGTGACTAACAACAAAAGATGGAGGTAGAATTGACAGCTCCTAGATACTGAGTGGATTGGGAGGGTGGAGGGGGAGGAGGCAAACATGACTTTCAGGTTCTAGGTTTGAGTAATTGGGTGGATGGCAGCACCCCAACCGAAATAATGCAAAGGAGGAGGGTGGGGTGGGGTAGGGTCAGGATAGGCGGAGTTGATGGTGGTACAGAAAAAGGTTGCATATGTCTAGCTTGATACATTTGAATTTAGGATGCTTATACAGGGAGGTCTCCAGTATGTAAAAGCTTTGTCACAAGTTTATGGGTATCCAGAGTATTGGCACCATTCCCTACCTTTAGGATTTCAGTAGTAGCTGAGACCAGGAAGTGAGTGAAAACATTCAAGGAGAGTATGTAGATTAAGCAGGCATGTGGATATGCTCCTGGAGAAGACCCACATTTAAGAACCAGCATAAGAAAAAAGAAATAGGGAGATACAGAGGGAGGAAATAGGTTAGAGAGGTGGTTCTGGAACAAACTGTGATCCTGGAAATGATGAAAGATGGAGTGGTCATCAGCAGGAGTGCAGAAGAGTGAGTCACTGAGTTATCAATGAAAAATGTCCCCTGGACTTAGCACCTGGAAGATCATTTGTAATCTCAGTAAGAGGAGTTTGAATGGAGAATTTGAATCAAAAGGCAGAGAGTTGTAGGATGAGCAGTACATGGGAAAAGTAGTGCACTTTGATGTGAAGGGAAGTTCCAAGAGCCTCACTCTTTCATTTATAGAGTAGATATGATGATGCCTTGCATAATAGTAATGAGAATTAAAGAACAAATGCCATATTAACCATTTGTTAATAATAATATTAACAATAAGTACATTAGGGACAATTTGCTCTGAATGGCTGGCTTTGTGGGCTCCCCATCTTCCAGTTTGGCCCCTGGATCAGCAAAAAAAAAAAAAAAACGACTTCCAGTTTGAGATACCTACTAGTAGTTAAAAGCACAGGCTCTGGAGCCACTGTCTGGGTTGGCATCCAGGCACTACAACTTAGTAGTTGTGTTTTTTTAAGCAAGTCGTTTAAACAATCTGTGTTAGTGTCCTCATCTATAAATTGGAGACATCAATTCATAGGGTTGTTGTGGACTAAGTGAGATGGTACACTTAGAATAGTATCTGGCAAAGTAATTATACAGTAAATGTTAGCTGTATATCTCTTTATTACACTATAATCCAGAATACTTGGTGCATGCTCTCGATTCCAGCCCTGTGAGTCAGTGGCCACATCTGTGCCTTGACCTCTAGTCACAAGCTCCTTGTAGTCTCTCACTGCTCCCCTGCTGTCTGATCCTGGCTCCCCTTGCCTCTGGGTCTGGACACACCCCAACTTGGAGTACTTCATACAGCTGACCTCAACATCTGTCCCCAATCTTACCTTTGTTCTCCCAGTCCTGGTTTCCTTAATCCTCTCTCCTAAATGCACTTCTGCCCAGTTTTCAACATGTTAAAAGCTAACAATAAAAGCCAATGTATATTGGGTATCTACTATGTGCTAGGAATTGTCCTAAAGGTTTTCCGTAATTATATATTTTCATATATGATACAACATACTTGTGATGTAATATTTGATTCTCAACTTTTCAGATGAGGACACATGACTCAAAGCAAGTGATTTATTGTATATTACAGAGCTAGTCAAGGATGGAGACAGGAATTCCAACTGAGGTCTACCTAACTCCAAGTTCTTCTCACTCACCTTACTGCCTCCCAATTAGCACCAAAGGAGGACTCACAGTGTGTCTGAGTGGCACAGAGGAGTGAGTGATCCAAGAAACTAGAAAAAGCTTTAGAGAATAGACAGACCTCAATATGGAGCTCCAAGAATGTACTCATTTAGATTTGGGTAGGAGATATACATTCACAGTTCAGAACTTCAACTGGGAGAATAACATAAGCAAGGCCCAAGGAGGGAAAAGTTGAGAATACCGACTGAGGAGGAAAAGGAGAGGTTAAGTAAACAGAGAATGGGAGAAAGAACAAGATTCGTTCAGTTATGCTGTCGGGGAGAGAGTGTTCACCAAGCCCTGGGGTCTTGATAAGTCTACCTGGCTTTGGGTCCCTGTCAGGATCCTCCTGCCTAGCACTACCCTGCTGCCTATCAATCCTTCACAAGCCACTGCAAGGAGAGTCTCTGTCCTGGGCTCCGCACACCTCAAGGAGCACTGAAAGGTAATGCTACCTGCCTACCATCATAGCTTTTGCATGACAGTCCCTCATGTCTGGTTTCTGACTCAACAAGGAACTCAGACACCCACCTCTGCATGGGCCATGCCATTGGGTGAAGACTTCGGGAGGGCTGTGCCTCATCTGCTAGTGTATACCTTTGCCTGGAATTCCCAACTCTGATATTCTCTCTTCTGGCTTTGAGGTACTTCTTTCTGTACCTTCTCATCACTTGGTTGTGATCCATGGTTGTCTGTACAACATGCCAGCAACAAACTATCCTCTAACCTATTGCCTGCACTTCTCAGGTTAACTTCCCCTGCCTTCCAGAGTTGACGGATCATCTCTATGTCTGAATATGAACTTCTGAAAAACAAATATATTTCCTATTAATAAGCAAGTAGTCTAGAAACAGCAATTTTTTTCCTAGTTCACTATTTGCCGCTTAAATATTTTATATTGAATTGCGTAAGGAAAAGCAAGATGAAAGATTTTTATGGAAAGGTAAAGAGGCAGTGGGGAGGGATAAGTTTGATGGCCAAAGAGAGCCCTCTGAGACTCATATGGCTGGGATTAGAATGAAGCAAGGAAAGCACAAGGGCACAAAATTTGAAGCACTCTAATTAAGAGTTGTGCAAATGCAGAATAGGTCCTGTAGTTCTAGCGCACACTACATGATCAATCACTCCATTCCAATAACCCTTCCTTGCCCTTTACCAAGATTCCTAACTATGTCCTGTTTTAGCACATCTGACATTTAGGTATAACCTACTATCTTACGTATTTTTTGTAATATGAGAATTTAAGCAGTGGGATTCCCCTTGTCTTAGATTCTTCTTACTGCCGCTTCCACTGAGTCTGTTCCAGATATAATTTTCACACATTTTCAAGCTCCAGTTTTCAGGGTTCTAGCAGCCCTTTATCACCTCCAGAACATACTTTATAGTTTCTTAATTTCCTCCCTAGTTTATTACCTGGCCTCCAGTGCAGAGCATCAGGTATTAAACTTCCCTTAATCTCAGTTCTTTCCATAGAGTGTGATCCATTAAAACCCTTACGTCTGTCAAACTGTCCTCCTTCTTATAGTTATGTTTTTTTTCTATGTGACATTCCCTGACAACTCTTAGGATGGAGAATCAGGCTTTATTCAGAATAGCCCTTTCTAGTTAAAATTTCCACATTTAAATAAAACAAATACCATTTCATTCAACTTAAAATTTGAAAATCAGAAATAATGCTCTATAATACTGAAGATCTTACTTAACATAATTTTCAAATGATTTTGGTTGCTGTATTTTCATTCAACCACTGGTTTAATCCTAGTCCTCGGTAATTCTATTAAGTGGAGCATACAATATGCTCAAAGGTCAATTTTATCCGAGGCCTCTTTTCATCATTTTACATAAATTAACACCCTCACTCTCCAAACTCTTCAACCCGCACTATTTTTTCTTCAGAGCACTTCCCCATTAGGCATTACATCACTAGAAATATGTTTAATAACAGCTTTTGGACAACTTTGTTCGTTTTCTTCACTACCATTTGTTAGGTTAGAACAGTCTGGCACCTGGAGCAATCGAATACTTGAAGGGAGCTGGTTGGTTGATGGACAAATATCTCTAAAAGCTATTTAAATACAATCATGCACACAGAACAATTCAAAAAATATTTTTTCATCTTGACACCAAGTGATTAGCATATGTCCTAATGAAATCAACATTTGTTTTCTATAACATCCCTTTATCTGTAATCTAGAAAACATATCAAACGAGTAAATGTGTTTGGCATTATTTGCTCCTAGAAAAGACATTCAAGGATTACTCATTTCTTCCATAGGGGCTCAAAAGTATCAATTTAATGACCATTCCTGTGTTTAGCCTAAAATAGTCACTTCGGTCTTATTCAGGAATCCACTTGTCTGCATAATTTCCCAAAGGCTATCTGCAAATTTTATACATGGTCTAAGATATAAATTCTCTGAGCCCAAAGATTTATTTAGTCAACTAAACACCTTAACTACCTTAGATGTCTATTTTCATTTGTTTGTTTTCATATTTGAAAGTCATTGTCATTCTATGAGGTACAAGAAAACATAGAAAGAATATCGAGTACTGCGTATTTTTGCCTTCTGTAGTTATAACTACAAATAAAATTTGAAACATTATTCTAAAATACTGAGACTAGCTTTCCCATGAGCTGTAAAGGTAATGTGAGTGAAAACATTTAAAAATCAGGCAGTCCAGCAGGTTAAAAATTGTGTTAGCAACTACAGGAATCTGACCAATTGTGAAATATCCGAGATAATGAAAGTGCTCAGGCTGGCATATTCTCAAAAGCCCACTTTGGTTTAAAACATTTACCTCTGTGAACATGGCCAATTATATAACTGAAAAACTTCTGCTCTTCAAAACTTTAGGTGCTACTCATTAAACAAAAAGTCTCAGCAAACTGTATATACTTTCAAGTCAAAAGAACACATCGTTAGAAACTAGAAAAATATATTTTGGCTCCTCAGCCCCCTCGTTTAGGTCATGTAACAGCAAGAAATTAGGGCGTGTCGTATGCATAGTAAGCTTGTTCTGTAAGTGTTGAGTCATATAAACTTGCTAAATCAATAGAAGCAGCTTATCAGAAGAAGAGTTTCCTATCTTGCCTTGCAATAGAATCAAATGATGGGTTTCCTCAGAAGCAGTAATGTGGCATTTTTTAGAGTCCACTGGATGCTATTCAGAAAATAAAATTAGGATGTCATCTATCCCATTATCAAATATCTTTTAAGGCAAAAGTGACTACAGTTGTGAAGTCATTTGGAAACAGTTAAAAGATCTACATAAATACAAACTACAAAGGACCCCCTTATATGCCTGTAAAATTTTAAAGTGTTAAAGCATGCCGTAATGCTACATCCCTAATTTATTGATTTGGACATTGCATTGAAGTGTTTCTGATAAATGAGTTTCGAGATTCCAAACTGAACTCTCCATGTTACAGGTAAAATAGGGAGCAACAGTAACTGCATTTGGAGATGTGAACTAGGAGGATAAGGATTAGGAAGGCTTTTTTTCACACTGAATTTAATTATACCATGTGTATTAGTAAATATAAGGGGACCATCCACACTGTGTTCTATATGATAGTCACCTGTGAGAATTCATCTCCAGTGCTGTCAGCTTCTCATTTTTCAGGAGAAACCAGAACTATGAGTTTTATGTGAAATCCCTCAATTTTTAAATATTAACAATTACTTTCTTTAAGCAATGCATAGATAAAACTACTTGGCTGTACCCTGAACAGGGCACCTTGCCAAGATGGCAGGGAGGGGGAGGCTGCAAATGGTGGTGGTAAAATTCAGACTTCTAGAGGAGCTGGGCTTGAAGCTGGGTGGGGGTGGGGGCAGAGGGGTGCTTTTTCTTTATTCTCACAAAGGTACCTGACAGACACAATGGCCCTGCTTCTTTGCAATCTCTGGATTAGATGATAGAATTAGAGCATTAAAGCTGGAGATAATTTATGTGCCATATATCTTTAAGGATGACCTTATTCTGACAACCCAAGCAGCTCATCTGCTAGGCCTTTTTATTCTTCCAGCAATGGCAATGGATTGCACTTAACTTTCTTATTGTTCAGTGATATATCTGTCTTTATACACTGTCTTTAATAGTGCCAGGTACCTGTGTTACTGTGTATAGTGAAGATGTTTTATATATATATATTCAGCTGAACCCTAAATATTTACGACCAAATATAACAGATACAGCTATAATAGCTTTTAGTTATGAAAATTTTTTTAAAAGTTCTGGAAAACTTCCAAGATTTTATAGAAGTTATTTGTAGAAGTGGGCTGGGCACAGTTAGATGTGTTATGTGTATTTAAATAATTCATGCTTATAAAAACAGCCATTGGTATAAGGATTGGTTTAAGACTTTTAAAAAATTGATAAAATGTTGAAGTACAGAATTAAGTAGTTCCCAGTGAGGTTTTCATCACATAATAAGAAGAGCATACAGTAGACATTATTGGCACACATGGGCTATCTGGAAACTCTCTAGTTATTATAAATCTAATAACACAAAAATCTAATGGCATAGAAATATGCATTCTACTTCCAGTGCTAGTCCAATCCTAGCTACTTTCTCAAAATTCTTAACATCAGCTCGGTGGGGTTTGCTATATATAAATAGTCCATGTTTGTTATACAAAGTATTAATTTCTCCTTTAAAAAAAAATCAAAAATCTCTATTTTTAAAGATTGGAGAGAAAAACCAAAGAGGTGGAGAAAAGAAACTATCATCAAAGGTTTGTTTAAACTTAAATAAAAAGATGTTTACTACCTAGTCATTTTACAACCACTTTAAAACTTTTTTCAATTTATATTCAAATGATTTTACAGCAAAAAAGATAAGTATACAAGACTTTCATTTCCATTAAACTTATCTACTAACAATCATCTTAATAAACAAAGGAGAATTGAACTGAGAAGGATAATGGAATATAAACTTAAAGGCTTTAAAAGCAGATATTATAAAGATGAAAAATTGTACATCAATGTCTTAATTGTATTTGCTGACTCCTATAGCTTAGTGCAAGAAGCCAGGGCTGCCACCCAGTGGCAATGTCTTTTAAAATGATTTTAAGATTTAAAGAATAAAGAATATATATTTAAAATAAAACCTCATGAATTAAATGACTTCAATTTTAACATCAGAAATTCTGGTGTATTTAATGTCTGTTTATAACATTAAGGATAGAAACATTCAATTGCCTAGGCTGCATTGTGGAAATTTTAGAAGATATTTATGACTTCTTACTGTTTACTAAGTTTTAGTAAATATTTTCAATTAAAATACAAAAGGTTACTTTGCTTAAATTTGTACCTCCAGAATTTATAATGGGAGGAAAAGCTATGACCATAAAAATACAACTGGTTTTCTTCTGTGACCTACAGAAGTAGATTCGATATTCTATAGCAGCCTCTCGTCCATATACCCAAACTTCTGCTTGGTAAACAAAAACATAATAGAAGCACCTACAAAAATATATGATTTAAAAAATACTTTCTGTAACCATGAACACATCTCACCTTTTCCTTAGGTATACACAAATTTTAGTGTCCCAGTCAATAAAACTCAAAGCTGAAAGGAGGAAATGAAAATAGTAGAAATACTATGCCCAGTAATTACTGATATTTAGGGATGGGGTAAAGGGGAAATCACTTGGCCTCCAATTTCCCCAAAATTTGGCCATAGCTTTTTTCACATTGGCACAGATAAAATATCCTAATATATAATGCTTTGGTAAAATAACACTAGAAAAAAAAATAATTCTACAGCATCCATTGAAAAGCTAAATATCCCAGACTGCTTTGTCCTCTTGAATAAACAGATGAGAGAGAAGCACCAAAAATTCTTAGAAATTTGGAGATTTTTGTTTCCAACAGTTGTAAATTAAAATTGTATGATATATTTTCTAATCTACATCCCATTTGTTTTGCTTTACAGTGAAGACAATGAATGAATTTTTTAAAATAATGGCAGACACAAGACACTTGATATTTACAATGGCTTGTGGCAGATACAATATAATTTCTAATTTTCCATTTATTATTGCTATTTAGTCACAGAAAAGATTAACACTCTCCAAGAAATTTATTTTAGCATATGCCATATATTGATATAATAATTTTATATGAAGAGAAACCATTGAGGCAGTGACTAATATGGTGCCCTTACAAGGAAATAAAGGAAAGGCAATGAAGAAATTCTTCCATATAAAGATTTTTCTTTCAAAATATAAACCTTAATATTAGAAGCAAAGAGAAAAACAGCAAAGGAAACAATAAAACAGAAGACTAAGGATAAGGAATTGCTCTATGCAGATGTTTTGCATATGTAGTATATAGGTATGGAATGAGTTATAATAAAAATACTTATGTATTATAGTCAATTCTCATATAGAGTTAGGAACAGCAATATCCAATCTAGCATGACTGGACTGACATTTTCTCAGTCCTCGATTACATGATGAATTAGAGCTGTGCAGCAGTCATTTCTGGTCAGCAGTATCATGATAAATGCTTGATAAGATATAATTTTTCTCCTTGTTCACTTGTAAAAATTGGTGCCTTTTTGTAATGTTCTACAAGTTCTTCCATGGTGCTGAATTTACGCTGCCCAATGCAGTAGACAGTCTCTTTTAGTTGGACTTTAAAATGCTTGTTTTTCCCTTGTGCTTTTAGTGATACTGAGAAATCATTTGGCTAAAAGAGAAAAAACATTCAGGGTAAACATTCTGAAAGACATTAACATTTTATATTAAATAACATCTTAAATGTGAGCATTTATTAAATACTAGGCACTACTATGCCAAATTATTTAAACAGATTATCTCCTTTATGCCTAAAAACAAATCCATTTTACAGCTGAGAAAATCAAGGCTGAGAGAAGCTAAGTTGTTCAAGATCAACTGTCTAGGTCACAAAAGAGCCAGGATTCAAACCCAAACAGTCATACTCCAAAGTCCCTTAACTAGCGTGTTCTACCTAACACCCACAGCAAGTCATTTAATTTAACATGGGAAGCAGCTATTTTCTGTCCAGTCAGACTACTGGAGAAACATATGAGAAAATCCAAGACATCCACTGATTTTAAATTAGTAGCTAACAGTAGTTGTCATTACAGAGTAGCTGATAATATTCTGAATTCTCAAAGATGAAGGACACAAAAATGAGAACTAATATAAACTTATGAGGTCATAAACTCATACGCCTACAAGGGGCCAAAAACAAACAAACAAAAAAGTAAACAAGTGACAGGGTGGATATACAGAGGGAACTACAGTGCCACTCTTCACTATCATCAACCACCTACGCTTCCCGAGGGGCTATGCTTAGGCCCTAGTCTAAAGGAAGTGACCACTTAGCTATGATTGTTGCCTTGTAGGCGCACTGGCTCAATGATGACAGGTCTTCCTATTTTAAAAAGAGAATCTGATGTCTGAATCTTTATATCTCCCAATATTTAAATATTGATAATAAATTCAAATGTTTAAAAAACATTCTGCAGATTAAACAAAATACGCCTACGACCTTTACTTTAAAAATTCTACTGCTAGAAATAATGGTATATTTTGGCTACCATCTATACTCAATTACTTATAAGAAAATACACAGTATTCTGCAATTAAGCTACTTCTCCAATCAGACTTTTTTAAACCTAACTCTTTTTGAGTAATCTGTATTAACCCAAAAGCCTCTTTTTGTACAATTACCGCCAGAGTTTTAAACAGTGGGCTTCTTCAAAACATCCCATACTTATAGTTACTTTACCACCCACTCCAAGGTCACTCCCTTCCTAACTCCTCTGCCCACTGCTTGTCCTGGAAAGCAGAGCCAGGTCAGGCATGTAAAAGAAAACAAATCCAACCACCTGCTCTTCCTGAGGGATTATATAGAAGCCTGATTTCCTGAACTTCACATACATTGGCAGTTCAATTAATCTCAAGCTCTTTCCTCTCTCTTTTTCTCCCTCCCTCTCACACACACACATATACACACACGCACACACACCCCCCTACTACTCGCATCACCTAAGATAATCTTGACTTTTCTTCAACCTTTTGTACAATCACACATTCACTTTTGTATAACTAAATACACACAAAGCCAATACTTATAATGATTTGAAAATGGAAACAGCATTCTTCCTTTATCAAGGAAAAATAAAGGCCGTTTTTTAAGGGAAATGAGTATCATCAAATAGACAGTACCCAAAAGAGCCCATATAACTATCTTCTTATTCAATTTTTATGGTGTTATAGTTTTATTGTTTTATAAGTATTAGAATAAAATTTATTTTATTGCAAATGTATTTTAAATACTGTGTTAAAAAAGTTTTTCGAGGTAAGAAAAATATTTCAACTTCCAAACAACCAATTTATGAAGAAACTTAAATACCGATTTTTTAAATTTAGAGATTTCCTTCATTTATAAGGACAGTGCATCCAAAATGCAATTTAAGAAATGTTTTCCCAGTTTAGTCTACTGCACTATTCTACTCTCAATGAAGAAGCCAGCGTTAAATTTTCTCCGTTTTTCAGTTTAACATAACAGAAAATATTTCAGAAATGCAAAACCAACAGAACTAGACAAGGCCAAAAAATCCAGTGTAGTATCTCCCCACTAGGGCTATATTTTATTCAAAATAAATACAGTTGGAAAGTGCATTGCCTTTAGCTTCAGAACATTTATGCTTATATCCCAACATACTACCTGGTTAATTTTAGTAAAGCCTCTCAAATTTTCTATTTATTTTTTTAATACCCAGAGCTCTATTTCTATTTACCTTTGAAAACCAACTTACCGAAGACTCACTATCACGAATGAGGAAATCACCTTCGTGCCCTCTTTCATTTAATGCCATTTCTGCTTGATGCCTGGTGACTTTCCCATAATACCAAGGATTGCCAGCAAACTTTCCAGTGAGTGAAGGCCTAATGTAATCACACTGTGGAGGTGAGGGTTCCAAACCTGAGGTTAAGGGATTATTCTGCATGATGGTAACATAGTTTTTTGGCACCAGACCGACCATTCCATTGATCTTCCTGCATTTCCACCATTCAGGGTCATTTTCAGGTTTTTCAATAACATCCATTACATCTCCTTTCTCAAAATTAAGTTCTTCATCATTGGACGAGCTGAATGGGTAAAGAGCCTGCACCACATGCAACACTTGCCCAGTATTTAGGTTATTGACGACTGCAGCTAATTTCTCTGACAGAGAACCCACATGGTCACCCAAAGGGCTGTCACCTTCCTCAGTTACATAGTTTGAAGGGAACCATCCAACTTGTCCATTGTAGCTACCTCGCCACCACCCATCACTGCATTTCTCCATGACGATCACCTTCGTCCCTTTTATCAATGATAATTCGTCCTCTCTCTCTGCCATGTAGTTAAATTTCACATATGCAGGCATGTTGAGGTCATAGAGACGTTCTCCTGGGTCAACAAAGCTATCATCAGCAGGAGATGCAGAATCTGGCACACTAGGTTTTCTTTTCACTTTCCCAATGCCTGTTTAAATAAAAGGAGTAATGAGAAGAGAACACAAAATGATAACCAAAAAAAACCCCCAACTTATTCACTATCCAAAAAAGATCTTCAAAACTCTGTAGTTTTTTTAACACTTTAAACATAGATAATAATTTTTTTTAACATCTCCATGACTTATTTATTTTATAACTGGAAATTTTTATCTTTCAATCAACCCCTTCACAAATTCTTTTCAAAACCGAACACTTATATGACAGTTTACCTTCTCATCTTTTTAGTCAAAGGCACTGAAATAACTGCATAACATAATTATAAAGTTGTCCTAAATTAATTTTAAATGTAAATACAGACTTCTCTCATAGCTACAATCTAATTACATAAAGGCTCTACCAAACCTATATTCTTTTTGTCTTACTTTTTTTGCCTAAATTCTACAATTAGCTGTATAGAAATAAAACAATAACTTAAATTACAACTTGATATGCAACATAAAATTGTAGCTATGCTAAGTTCCAAGACCCAGGCTGTTCTATTACCTCATATGTTTATTTTAAAATAATATATTATTTACTTGCTTGCCTCCTCTCACTCCATTCACATGTAGCTCCACAAGGACAGGGATTTTGTCTGTGTTCATGCATGTAATTCCAAGAATCTCACACGGTAGATGCTTAATATATATTTGTTGAAAGAAATGAGAAAATCACCATATGGTACTATCATCACAAATGTATGCTACATCAATGAGCCTTTTCACCACTGCTCATTTCTTTCTTTTTTTTCCCCACTGCTGCTCATTTCTTAGCACGAGACTTTGTGTTCTACTTTTATCGAGAAAACTGAGGCATTCCTCGGTAAAACTTCTCAAATACCTTCTCACTCTCAAAAGGCTCATTACCTCACTCTTTTTCTTCACCCAACTCTGTAAGCACTGATCCTTCAGGGTTTTTTTTTTTTTAATATTTTTTTATTTTTGAACTATAGTTGGCATGCAATATTGTATTAGTTTCAGGTGTACAACACAGTGATTAGACATTTACATAACTTACAAAGTGATGCAGTCCTGGGTGGTACTCCAGCTCCTACACTGGTCAAGAGAGGTCACTGAGTGTGCCAGGCCAAGGGCCTCCTGGGAGGGGCCCAGGTGTAGACCAAGTTCAGCCATAGCCTGTGTACTTCTAAGGCCACATGGTAAGAGTCACCAAGCAATTTGCAGATAGCTGCCACCTATGCTAGGCTTTACAGGTGACTCAAAAGGCCACACCAGGAACCAAGGCCAGCTGTTGCTAGTGCCAGGCTTGGGGCTGCTCAGCAAGAGGTTCAGGGCACACCAAGATCGGTTGCTGCTTCTTTGGGTATTACTGTGAGCCTTTAAGAGATTTTAGTAAAGTCCACAGCATGAGCCAAGACAGGTCATTTGTATGGAAAAAACCGCTGGAGGCAGTTTGGGTTGGCCTGCAAGTTGGGAGAGGTGGGGTCTCAGGGAATCATCTTGGCGGAGCCACCTGTGTTAACCAGGCTAATGGAGACTCAGGTACGGTGGCCACCTGCATTTGCATGTTGGGAGTGGGAAGGGCTCAACAAAAGAACAACAGATAGTGCCTGCACTTCTGTCGGAGAGAAAGCCACCCTTCCAACCCTCACTCTGAAGCCAGATAACTGTTCCTCCCCATGTGTCCCTAGCACTCTTTGAGCAACTGCCCCAGTGCTGGAGCTCAGAGCAAGTTGAGTATGTCACTCAGAAGGTCCATACATGTGCAGGCTCTTTAAGAGGAATGTCTGCTACTCCTGCAGTCCTGTCTCTTTCAGCCACAATCTCCCCTGGTTTTTACAGTCAGAGATTGTGGAGACTTCTCTTCCTGGCACTGGAACCCTGGGCTCGGGAGCCTAGTGTGGATCTAGGACCCCTCACTCCTCGAAGTGGGGTACTCTAGAGCCATGATAACCCTCCTGATTCTTGATTGCCACACGTGGTTGTGGGACTGGTTTGTTTCGCATCTCTCCTCTTCCTATCAGTCTTGGGGTGACCTCTTATGTATGTCCCCAATTGTAGGACTTTTGTTCAGCCAGACCTCAGGTGACTCCCAGTGAAGGTTCTGTAGTTTCACTGTAATTTTGATGTGGTCATGAGAGGAGGCAAGCACAGCATCTACTTCCATGCCATCTTGACCGGAATCCCTTCTGGGTTCTTGCTACCATCTTTCCTGCCTCCTTTGAAACTCTTGGCCATCCTCGTTTCCCTCTTACTCAGTCTCTCCTGTTTCTAAAAACACACTCAGATTGCTTCTATTCTCAAATAAAATTACTTCAATTCTGCTACTACTTGTAAACTATGCCATTATTTAAAAAGTCGTCTATCTTTTATCCTTCAACTTTTCATCACTCACTCACTCCTAACACTTATAATCTGGTCACCTATCTCTACCATTCTACTAAAACTACTCAATTAAAACCATTATTATAAAGCTATGTCATGTCTTTACTGCCAATCAGTTCCTTTTAGAGTACTCAAACTCTACGCAGCAACCAAGATCAAGGATTACTTTCTCCATCATTTTCTCCTGAGAGTCTCCTGTTTTGCCTACTGACCTGTTTAAATATTCCTGGTATCTCTGTTTGGGCTCCTCTATACCTTGTTATAAAATTGTATTTTATTTGTTTTAATTGTCTAACTCCTTAAGAAGAGAATGAGCTTCCTAAGGACAATAAATTAGATCTCATTATCTTGTTTGTCCAGTGCTTAGCAGTATCTACACTAGTAGGAACAAAGTGAATGTTTACTGAATGAATAAGTGAAGGATTCCTTAGCTAAAAGTGTTTCTCAAGATACCATGCTTGGACTTGTCCTCTACTTCAAGGAAATCATATACCTTCATTTTCTATAATTTCTATATAGAAGGTTTTAAGGTCTCTTTGCAGCACTAGGCTCTTTCTGGAATTCAAGCACTACAACTCCAGTTTTTACTAGACATCTACAGATTGTACCATAGCACCTCAAATACAAACACCTATGTCCAAATAAAACATCCATAAACCAACCTCCTCCCTCCCAATTTCCTTTTTTCTGATTAATGGTATCATCATGTTGAAAAATCCCCACATTAGGGATTTCTGCAGAAGAGAGAACTCAAGGCCTCCATCCTTCCAAAAAAGTAATTAATGAGCTGACAAATAATAGTCAGAATCAACTTTTGCAGAACTCTGGAATCTAGTAAAAAACTTACAAAAACTAGGGCAAGGCTTAGTGAAGAAGCTGCCGCTTTGTAGTAAGAAAGCGCTGTGGCATTTTAAGTTGCCTGCCTACCATCTCTTACATCCTGGTGGAAGTGAGGATATCAACCTGTACTCCTAATGCCAAAAGGAGCAACACAGATCTTATTCTTGAAGAATTATGATTGTGGGTTTCAACCTATCTGGCAGCTACTTGAAGGACCAGCACAATGGCTTGCCCTGGTTTCACCCAACTTGGAATATTCCCAGGGTTAGAGTGTCTTTAGCTGAAATCATTTAATTGATGCAGTAGCTTAGGGCAAGGGACAGCAATTAGGACAAGTAACAGACATATTGAAAACCCCAGGAAGGAAGAGTTTGTGATAAGATATACATAGGGTGATAAGGGCTTTTAAAAACTCCTGTGTATAACAGAGAATCAAGAATGCTATACACATCGCTAGGACTGGACATATGCTTAGTAAAGTCCTAAAAGACCCTAAGCTTTCACTTATGGTTGCTCTTTAGGCTCTGAAGACTCAGTAAGTGATGGCTAAGGCAGAGTTATAAATAGTCTGGTTAAGAGTTAGAAGAGTATTTTTTTCTTTTTCTTTTGGTTCCAGATGCTTAAGAGAACTGTCAAAACACTAGTTGACCAGTAAGCAAACGGATCATACTTCAGTGGCCACACGTGACAAAGAATACAGATTTTATAAAAAAATAGTTTAAAAGTCACTAAACAAGCAAAAACAACCCGCCATAAGAAGCAACAAACCCTAGACAGGGTATAGAATCTGAAAGAAAAAACAATAAAAAATTCTATATCTATCAAAACTATCCTTCGAAACTGAAGAAAAAATTAAGACACTCCCAGATAAACAAAAACTGAAAGAGTTCGTCATACTACACCTATGCTGTAAGATAAATGCTAAAGGGAGTCTTCCATGCTTAAATGAAAGGACACCAAACAGTAATGTAAAGTTACATGAGGAAATAAAGAACAACGGTAAAGGTAGCTCCACTGATAAATATAAAAGCCACTTTGCAAATGTATGAAACAAAAATTTCAAATCTAGGTTAATGGGCACACAATGTATAAAGATGGAACTGTAAAGAAGCAAAGTTTTATCTACTATTGAAGCAAAGTTTATATTAATTGTAGTTATGTTAATTGTCATTAATTGTAGTCCCCAAGGTAATCACTAAGGAAAAACTAAAAAAAAAAAAGTATATAAAAAGAAATGAGAGGGGAAACAAAATAGTAAATCAGGGGGAAAAAAATCAATTACAAAAGAAGGCAGTAATAGAGGAATTGATGGGAAAAACGGTATCAGACACACAGAAAACAAGAAGCAAAATATCTGAAGGCCTTCATAGTAAAGTAATAGTAATTACTTTAAATATAAGTGGATTAAAAGGCTGGATTAAATGGCAGCAAATGAATGAATGGATTTAAAAATGTGAAAATTACTCAGCACACTCAAACAAGTGATGGGTTAAAAAAGAAATTGTGTTCTATAAAGTCACCATGAGTAACTGAATTAGCAAATACTGAACCTCTGGCTCTTAGAGGAAATACAGGGTTAGGTCCTACAAGCCTCTGTTCACAACATTTTTATCTACCAATCAATACATAACCTTGTCTTACATGAGTTTCTTTTTTAAAAACACTTTATATAAATTGTTGATTCATTGTCATTGAACTCATGGCCACCATCACTAACTTATGTCTGAGTAAAGCTTACCTAACGCATGTATTTTTTCTGTAAAGCAAATCAGTTTCTTTTTGTTTTTGAGCTTAGTAACTCTAG